TTCAGAGCGTAATGATTTAATGCTCCATTTATCAATCTGTGAGTAATAAAACACTTTTCCCGTGACATTCAATGACGCATCTTCACAAAATCCATTATTTTAAGATATTAACCATAATAATATAATGTATTAATCTTAATTATATAAATGCTGGGGCTTTATGGAATACAAAAGCAAACATCCTTCAGGACTGTGAATCAACTGTTTTTTTTTTTGTTTTATAATAATCATGAATATTTGCCCTAATAATGAAATATTACACACGTCCCCTACATCTCAAGGATAACCAGCTGCCTTCTAACTAGGGAAAGGGGCAACCAAATTCTAATGTGACTCATTTGCTAACTGGTCCCAATTCACTTTCACAGCACAAGTACAAGAGCATTCCTACGCATTAAGGACACTGGCTAAGAGAGTAACACTCACAGAGTGTTAGATTATGTGGGGGTGGTGCAGTGTAAAACCAAACAGGAAGTCCACTTGGAACTTGGTGAACAACCCAACGAAGTGAGCTGGCTGTAGGACAATTTATCTTTTATCTGTCAGTCAGACATTGGTTCCGAGTAAAATACCGGTTCCCAACGCATAAGGCGAATATGTCAGCTGGCACCATGTGCTTCGGTTCAGGGGAAGGCACTATGTTACTCATGCACCCCCCATGCAAGAAAACCGAGACAAAGAGCACATCACAGTTTACAAGGAAACCAGTAACTTAACCCGCTTTAAGCCTGGCCATTTTGCACTCTTCCTTGTTAATCTTAAGAAAAATGAGAAAAACAGAACTGACAGATAATGGCAATTGTGTCGGCAATAATTCATTGTTTTTTTTTTTTGTGGGGAGTGGGGGTGACAGGTGGAAAACCAATAGGACCCTCCTCTCCAGCCCAATCATAAGCCAGCCTACCTCAAGGCAAAGCAGGCCGGATGATTGGCTGGAACAGCCATGATTGACATGTTTACTTTACACAGACAAACTTTAATCTAATATAGAACAAAGACCCCCATTTTGGCATAGACTGGCATAGTTCATATGCACTGAATATTAACTTCATTACCGTAAAACAGGAGGGGGGGGGTAATGATGTCTATTCAGCCGAAGATTGTTGCAACCCCGGCAACAGTGACCCATTACATTTCAGGTTGGCACACCTCAAAAAACCTCCCATTGTACTTGTTAGTTGCCAGCTAGGAGTGGGCAAAGGTACCACAATGACTAGTTTATAGTAAATATCGAGTAAATGTCAGCGCTCACCCTGACACTGTAACACTGAAGGACAGTGACCACAAATACATCCCACAAGCATAATAATCACCAAAACTGCAGTGGCCGTCCGCATCCACACGTCAGACTTCATGCTACCTGCTTACTCCTCACACACCTGTGTGAGCACTTATCGTCCTGGATGGCACGGAGGACAATATCCTTTGGCAAGGGCAGTTATCTTTTCTAATTACTTAAACCCTGACTGAGAGCGTTCGGTTTGCAGGTATTCACGCAGGTGTTTTTTTTTTGTGGCAAGGAGTACAAAGGAAAGCACTGTCTACTCCACGAGGCAGATAGTTAGGGAACCAAACATTTTTATTAATTCCACGCTGGTTCAGGGATGGCACATTATACATAACTGCACCGTGTTACTTACAATATTCCTTTTTTTTTGGAGGGGGTGCAGTTTTCTACCGCCTGTTCATTGGTGTAATACTCAAATGATTATAAAAAAGCACAGAAGGACAACTATATAACTAACAATTGTAAAATTTACACTAGTGGGCAAAATTGTGGAAACACCTGGCATGTTTGGCATTTCGCTCTAAAAACGTTGTTTAAAATCTACACGAATATTGGCGGTAATGTTTATAAATCAAATAATGTTACAAATATCATACATTGGACGATTAAATAAATAACTGGAGCAACAGTTCAATAAAATCGAAGTTCTGCAATCTCTAAAAATTGAAAGTGTTTCCACAGTTTTGGCCACTAGTGTATAAATGTTTCTTGTTTTGTGTCATGTCCATGACGTATTAACCTGACAATCTCAATCTGCGCAGTTAAACTTCCAAGCCTCGCTTCTTAAACGGTGTCTCGACATGACAATGTTGTTGCGAACCTCAAACGTGCCACGCATAAGAATCAAAGCCGAGCTCCAGAAAACTGCCCAGGCAGAGCCGTTTGTAAACAGGGGGACCCAGGGGCGCTCAGGCTGGCTGCGCCGAAACCCGAAACGCTCTTAGCCAGCAGGATGTGCCTGATCGTCCATGTAAAGATAGTAAAGCCAGTGTTTTAAAAAATAAATACCTGTTGTTGGATTTCGGTTCCGCAAAACAACCGTATCTCTGAGCTCTCTCAACTCCTCCTCCTCTTCTTCACGTCTAGCTTCAGCCATTAGGGGAAAATGGGAAAAACCCTTTTACCTGAAAAAATAATAATTGTCCATTTCAAAGATTGCTGTCACCGTACAATAACTTCGCTCCCGGAGCGGCGCACCCGCATCTGAGCGCTGCTGCCATCGTCCTGGAAACGCGACTACAGGAGAATAACAACTCCTATCTAATACACATTTTCATTCTTTTACCCTAGCATTTTAATAAATTAACATCACTCTCCAACTGAAATGTTCCAGAAACTAAACTACGGCAAAGCGGCCAGCTGACTTACCTTTCCAGCACCGTATAATAACCAAACTGCAACAGGAAATTCAGCAACAGCGCTAACAAATGGAGGTGGTGCCTGGTCGCGAAGTGTGACAAAACTCGAACTTTTCAATAGGCCGGGCGAAAATCTATCATTTAATCTTTTTTTTCGATCCGCTTCTACTGCAGGCTTTGCTCATTCCTAACAATTGTTTTTAAGTACCACAGGTTAACGCCGCCGACGACAGGGGCCGCGTACAAACGCGCTCTTTGTATTCGCGTTTCGATGCTCCGGCGGGATTCGTCCTAGCAGATCCCACAGTGCGACTGTCATGTTATAAATCCACAGATACGCGTATTTCCTTATTATGATCGCACCTTGCTGCTAAGGCTTTGGGATCGGTTTCTAGCCTTCCCCGCGTAGTTTTCTGTTGCTTAACCCCGGCGTCACCCTAAACACGTTTTAACATGCCGGGGGAAATAAACCAAACCAGTCAGCATGAAACTGGACTAAAACGAGCGCCAAGTATTGAACAGCCGTAAGGTAGCTGTTACGCAAGACAACAAATAATTAAAATTCATATTGTGAGATTATCTATAGCTTAAACTGTTTTATAATTACAACCATACACTTTACGATGCATTGAACTACATCGTAAGAATGGTTGATTATATCCTAGTAAGAGCTAGGTAGGCTAAGTAATCGTATTGAATACTCTTTTTCTGCTTTACAAGTGTGTTTCTTTTATGAGGTTCTAGGTGTTGCGCAAGTACACAGCAGTTGCTAACTTAAATTGAGATTTCTAATAAACGTTTGTTAAATATCAATCACTTTGCAGTTTTGTCCCCGACGCTATAGAAATGTGTTGACAACTTGAGGCACACGACAGCAAAGAAAATCACTTTGGTATATTTAAAAGAAAAAAAGCAACCGTGAATTTTAGGATAATCAAGATCGTGATCTTTTGCGAATTCCAGAGACTTCCAGGGTGCAGGTTCTTGTTCTGAACGCTAGATGGGAGCATACCCATATATTATAAATTGGAATAGTAAACTACTCGTAAGCATTACAATCATTAACCTATCATTTCTGTTTATTTTTCAAGATCAAACAAGTGATTAACACGAGAATCATGTTTCCTTGAGAAATGCCTGCGTACTGACTGCGTGATTAATTAGAAACCAAGCCATCACGTGGCTGTTTATTGTTTACAAGCGAGATTAGAAAACTTTACGTAATTATGTCATTCATTTTCAGAAAACAGAACCAATTTTAAATTATTTTCAAATAACCTCTTTGTTTATTGGATGAAACCACAGCTTGAATGTCTTAGGCGGGCTACAGAAATAATGCTGAACAGTTTGATGTTTTGCGTAATGCTTTTTAATAGGCCTATACGGTCATGCCGTGAAGTTGGTATTACATCGGTAAATGGGCCAGATGCAATACGTTTGTATTAGACATCACTTCAGTTGCTCTCAGCCTCTTTTTCACCATATACTGTAAATACACGCCACGCTAATGGCCGAAACCCTCCGAAAAAGCACCTTCACATGATGAATATGTACGATAAATATGTGAGAAGGTAGTGCTTGCTGCGCATGCGCACGGAAAATCACACCTACAGTTCAGCACCGCGTGCACCGTTTATAAGTGAACGCAAAATGCGGTCATCAAAACGAACAGTACCCAAACCGGGTGGGGATAAACGCAAATTACACTGCTGAGGTAAACAACCTGTATCGTAGAACAAAACCCCTGTCAACAAACTGGGTTATGCTATTACGCCATTTCTGGAGTGACTGAAAAAGAACAAACACAATTAAGTCTTCGGAGTAGATCATGCCGAAATTATCACCTGCACAGGAATATTTATTTGGTCAAGATAAGATAAGGTCAAATATCGATAGTTTTCCATTTACAGAACATTATTATTGTAACAATATCCGAGGGAAGTTTTCGATTTAAAAAGCGATAGTGCACACTATTTATTATGGACTCGTTTCATTTTAATATTATGGAAAATTAAGATTGTTGTACGTGCTTAAAGTGCATTCTTTTCTAAAAACCTACAACATCAATTTGTGATTTTACTCATTAATTTCACCTCCACGGTGAAAACAAACGCTGTCCGTCAGTGGACCGTCGGTCTCGTGGTAGGCATATTCCATACTTCCCGGCCAACATCTACATTTGCAATGAAAATAACATTTTTCGAAATTACCCACACTGCTTCCATACATCTGCTTGACCTCTAAAACGTACACGAGCCCAGAGTTATTTATAACAATGGGTGCTTTGTGTAATCCCCCAAAATTGGAGCATACCTTCTCGATCTCCACGGGAAAACTAGGGTCAGCTATTGCATTTCTCAAAACCAGGTTGTGTGCCTCACGTACTAAGTTCTGCGTTCAACTCGGTTAAAACTATGTACAGATCATCGAATGGGTTGGTTGCCACAGACATTTCTGGGAAAACACTCGGCACTAGATGACCCTAATAAATACGTTGCGTTTGCCAAATCTGTTTCTTTTCTCAAAGGGAAACATCTGAAATTGGTAATGGAGATATCCACGATCCAAGCGCTACCGAGAATGACAAGTACCGTGCATTAACTCAGCAGGCGCCGAAGGAGGGAGGAGCTTAAGTGCGCTTTGGCAGCTCACCTTCTCCTCGCCTGGGCTCAGGTTAGTGAAAACGTGTGATAAAGTAAACAGCTGTAGGAGCAGGAAAAGCCACGCTACGGGAAAAGAAACTGGCGAACTAGATTTGGTGTGAATCATTAGACGCCTATTGTTTCGGGAACGATCGTTCCCAGCTTCGGCTGGTGAGGATATAGTACCGGACAGTTTGACACCTCGGAATAACTAACTCCAACATCCGAAACCATCTCGCTGGATTGGACTGTAAGCTCATTCGAAATACCTTTCTCATTTAACTTGTCATTTGAATGTTTCTTGATGTGATTAGGCTGTTCTGGGTAGCAAGTAGTAATCGTATATGACTGAAAAAAATGTGACCAAGTATTATCGATGTAACATATAATAACCTGATCAAAGGTGATTCAGTTGTGTTTTCATGTGTAAACGAATACGTTTTTGTGTTTCGTGGCTACGTGAATTACATCGTAATACAAGGTCTGTACATAAAATGAGAATAAGGGAAATATGGGGGGAAAAAATTGACACTTAACCCCTTGATTATATAGAAAGGTATAAAAGAATAGATTGCCATGTACATCTTTGTATAACCTGAAACGGATACGGGGCGTTTCCTTATGTATTAAAGTGATCTATCCTGTGCTAAAGGTGCAGTTTATGATAAAACAGGTAACATGTAACCACTGGGTACAACCTTCACGGCGATTATTAAAAGGGTTACATTAAGTTTACCTGTTTTGTTAGGTAAGACAGTAACAAGACAGCAGCAGTAAAGATGGCAAAGTAATACAAACAAGTGTTTTGTGAGATGCACATTATTGTTGTATTTGCTGCGGCTGAAGAGATATTTGATCGAGGGAAGTCGAATGAAGACGCTTAGTAATATACGATATAAAGTGCTGTGCGATAAAACGCATTAGTTTGGGCTGCGGGGAAGGTGAGATCATTATTTTATATAGGTCACTTGCAGAACTTCAGAATTGCAGCACAACGTGTTCTTAAAAATATTGTGCGTGTGCCGGCTTGGTCTGATGGTGCGTGTGAGAGGTGCTTATTGCAGGTAACCCCCGCCCCTTCTTATGACTGGGTGGGGGGGCTGCTTTAATCTGCTGGGCTGGAAAACCGATGTAATGGGTGAAAAACACGCATAGTCCCTGCTCTGTATCGGCGATGTGCGTCTTGCTGTTGATGGTTAAAATCACGGCTACTTGTTCAATCCTCATCTTAGCCGTAGAAGGAATTCTCCAGTACTGACCACCACTTTGCCATAAACTTTTAGACAGACCAGTCAGAGCTAGTGAATTTTAGCAAACTGAACACCAGTACTGCACACTTACTAGCTGCTATGTAAGATTTTTTTAAACTATAATAATGTGGTAATGCGGTTGTTTTCCATACAATGATTTTACCCCGAGTAAGAATTACTTTCTTACAAATGTGAAAGTGGATTCACGAACCTAGCCCATTGTTTGCCTTGGCTTTCCAGGACGCAATATTTCACCTACGCCACAGTCAATAAATAAAGGCAGGTCAGCACAGAGCTCTGCCCTAGTTGAGTAATCAGATTCGGCGGCCGCATGGTGCATGTTGTACGGTTACCATCGTAGCTGCTCGCGAAGCTTCGTGCATTTTTCTAGCTATACATACCCCAATCTCTCACCCCAACTCTCTGTACTCCTTTTAACTAGAGTCGGTGAGTTTAACTCCATGCAGAGTTGAGTAGAAAGGCCAACACTTTCTTTGTCTCCCATAAATCTGTCTAATACTTGCGAAAATCGGTTGTTCTATGCAACTGGCTATACGTCGAATCTTATTTACCTCGAGCAAAATATGTGTTTTTGCTTTTTGTACTACGCTGAGGTGACTACTCTGTGTACGGTTCCGGAGCAGATCTATGTGAATTGGTCTTCCTCTCATGTTTCTGCGGCTTCAAATCTTGACTATCATGGCTAAACGTTGTTTCTTTTTATAAGGTAAAGGAAAATTTTTATGGTTCAGGGAGCTCCTATCCTAATTAAAGTATTGATCTTGAGCTTGCTTGGAAATTGGCTGTAGTCTCGTTGCCTTCCCCAGGGGATTCAAACATCCTTTGGGTAAGTGACTTCCAGTGGTCACGATTCTCACTGCAATAGCCAGTCTACTGTACTCTGTTACAAATAGGGGCTCTGTGCTGGATCTGTCACCAGAAATGTATATTTAGTTGCACTTTAATCCAAAGCCGCTTAGAATTCTTTTTGCTGATCCCACAATACACAGAAATTCGGCCATTTGTGCAGCGTGTTTTCCTGAGTTCACTGCCGCGTGTGCATGCATGCATGCATGTATGAATGTATTCATGCATGTAATAAAGTGTGTGTTTTCTCTTGCTAGTCGTATGCGCTGAGAATTTTCTCCCACACATGTGACGAGAAGGGACTGGTGTTCTGCCATATTCATTTATTGTAGACCACAAAGACAGGAGCTTCTGCTGAACATTCGCCTAGACCACCTACGGTAACAATCGGGTCCTTGTTGCAAACTGCTGTTAGTCTTTTCTATAAACATTACTGGCCCAGGCTAATGTTGCAAGAAGCCTTTTCGTTCTTATGGTACGTTTTAAAGTGAGGAAAACGACGCAACTGAGAGCGGCTGCGAGACAAAACAAAAAGATGTAGATAACATTCATCTGTGTTTTTTTTTGCTTCTTCAGATAGGGACATTAAAATGGATTTATGGTGACCGCTCTCAGGTTGTCATGGTGATGTCACATGAGGTGGGAACACTGGCCACCAGTAAACCATCATCTGAACCCCAAACCAAGGCAGCCAGAGATATCTGCTCCGCATTCAAAGGCAGGCAGCTGTGGGCTGCAGAATTGTTATTTTTTTTGGCCAACACAACCATTTCACTCATGGGGAAACATCTAAGAAATCTTTGAATCTTAGAATTTGTCATTTTTAACCAAAACACCTTATTGACCAATAAAAACTCAAATGTGTATTTCACACCAACCAGAGGTGGGAAGGTCAGGACCAGGAAGTACAAATCCAGACCAAGGATTTGTCTCAACCAACCAGCTGAGTGCTCTGTGACTGTGACTCTTTATACTCAACTGGTTGGTTGAAACAAAATCTTGTACTGGATTTTTGCTTTCTGGATCTGCACATTCCACCTCTGACACTGACACATCTTATTGACATATTGTGTCAAACAGCAAGCCAGCTGTTCTGGAGACTGTGTCACATAAAAGTTGTTGTTATGAGCTGCTCCCTGAATGCACTACACCAGGCAACATCAGACGGGACACTTGAGCCTGACAATTGTTGACAAGGAGGTGGATGCTAGGGAGTGCAGTACCACTACTCACCTGTAGGGGGAATAGAAGATGGCACCTGACACTGCACTACAAGACAAAGAGCGCAGTACCAACAAGCTGCACCTAGCAACAGGTCATGCCAAGACTGGAACAGACGCGTGTTTGTCTCACAGCCGAACGGGCGGCTTTCCCACGCAGAGCTTGGCTCAGCTATTTCGCGTGCTCAGCATTAACGCAGCCCGGGTGACCCACCTGACCCTGGGTGTGGAGCCAGCTGCGGGTCCCAGGCCTTCGGCCTTCGGCGGGGGTCATTCGCAGATTGTTCAGATAATTCCCAGTGCAGTCATGTGACCGCCTCACAGCAGTCAGGTGACCATTGACCATATCTGAGTGGTGCTTCTGGAGAATTCCAGGCCTAGGTGCATTATACAAAAGATTCAGCCGATTGGGATGATATTTCTTTTAAGTTTTTGCAGTTTAATTGGTAATTTTCAACAGATATATACAGGATGTTAAAAACTATTTCTGGGTCCATGGGTAATGAAATGTTTTAAGAAGTATGACAGAGCAAGTAGCAAGACTAGCACTATACAGGTATAAAAATAATACATTTTATTATAACTGAATAGGGGTCTGGTAGTTGCAGACCAATAATCCAGCCCATACTTGTCCTGCTTTAGTTGCCTGGGGGGTGATTTATCTTGGCTTATGAGGTGGCATTATGCACTGCAGGGACAGATGGCATAGGCAAGTTGCAAGGGACTAAGCACATGGAGTATAGTTGGCACAGGGGAGTCCAGAGGATAGAAATGACAGAGGATATATCAACAGGTGCCAGAGAATTACCAGCATTCCACATGATTTATTACCCACAACGAGATGTGTGGTATAGAATCTTGTGATCCTCAGCGTTCCGAAAATTCCATGGCAACCGGTGACGTCACAGACCTACAACTTGCTGAAAGTTCCGTTCCCCCCTCAGCAGTCACTTAGTGTTCATAGAGAGAGGTCGTTTTGTCCGTGGGCTCCAAAGACTGGTAAATGTGGATATCAGTCCAGTTAAACGTCGTAATTAAAATCAAGATAAAAGTAAAAATTAGAAATGAAAATGCCAGTGAGAAAGTATCAACTGATAAATGCCTAATGGAGATAAAAGATGGTGGAGGAGGGAAGCAAGGTGTCTGGGATGAGGCACCATCTGCTGAAGAGGTTCGGTGCCACAGGGTGGGAGAGGAGGCTGGAGGGGCTACAGGTTAAAAAAAGAAAGCCGATGGGAGGGGACAAGGAGAAGTGATGTCACCGGCATAGGATAGTCTTCTTATCTGAGACCACAATGAATATAATAAAATACTTTCTTGGCATTCAAAAGATTGTGTCATTGTGGTCATTGAGGACCTTAGTACCCTTCTTGCTGGTCTGAAGTCTCGCATCAGTAAGATTAAGAGTATGGTGAGGAAGATTCACACACCCATTAATGCACTCGTACTCAGGAACACCTGTTATTCTGTCACGTTTGACGGCCATGAATATTGCATGTGTTTGCTGATGTGACAGCAGATATTCGCTGATTATTCCCACCTGGGGATATTTCACAAAAGATATTGTAGCAAATTCGGAGCTGGATTATTTAAACGAGCAGATAAGTCACCTCACCATTCGTCTTCGCAGTCTTGCTACTTCATTTTCTTTTTGCTTACAGCTTTCCCCTCCTTTAACATCCCAAAAACTCCATCCATCCATCCATCCATCTAACTGCTTATTCTGGTCAGGGTTGTAGTGATGCATTTACCTCTCCTTTTCAAATATGGTTTGCTTAGATCAGGAGTGGAGAACCTGATCCAGAGAGCACCGGTGTCGGTGCGGGTTTTTGGGATGACCTCTCAATCAGCCAATAATAAAGCAGTGGTTCTCAACTGCAGTCCTGGGGACCCACTGTTATTGGCTGATGGTG